TAAATTCAAGCCCGATGTGCTCAGGTGAGCGTTGTGGCCCCTGGGCCTCTTGTTAGATGTGCATGGTGCAACTTCCTGGATGGTGTGTAGTGTGTCTGTAAAAATGTGAAAACTAGGCCCATGGATTTTGGGGTAGGTTAATGTTTACTGTTGATTTTCATTCTTCTTGATTTTCTTTTCTTTCCTTTCTAAAAAAAAACAGAAGGGATTTTAAGGAAACTGCACTCAAATTTACATATATGTTTTATTTTTTCCGATTAACCGGTTACAAATTGCCATCCCTATACTATTCTGTATCTTAAATATAAAGATCTCCTGAGTTACTCAGATGAACTATTGCTATCCATTGTTATGTGTTGATGATCGTGCATTTCGTATCATAAATTTACATTTGACTACGTTCAGCTTCTTTTTTGGAACAACTGAACCCATGTTTCAACCATTTTTGGCAAAGAACATTTATGAGTAAAGGGGAACAAAAATTGGACAATGCAGCCCAGGGACCTTAGGGGTGGGGCTAAAATCATATCAACATTATCGCTATATATCTTTTAAAAATATTCTGTATATTCCTGGACATCAAGTAGTCAAACTGTTGGCATGATTTTAATAAGTTCTCTTCCAAAATTGTGAAACTCTTGGCACCTGGGTCAGGGGTTCTTAGTTAGGGTGGGGCTCTAATGATCTTATAGGAAAAATGCATCATACAATTCTTTAAGTTTCTCTTCCCCTTTATATAAGAGTAGGAGCATGGTTAGAATGATCAAGGGTGTATCTTCCAAATTTTTTTAATTTGCTCCACTCCAGGAGTCCAGGTGAGGGGTTTTGTGGAAGGGGGTTAAGCCAGATATATATTTATGATGAACAGGGGTGCCTCTGATTAAATAATTGTGAATTTTATGACCTCATGCAGGGTCAGGAAATTTGAGGTAAAGGCTGCAAAAATTAGGCTCCATTGATTATATAGTGAAAATGTATTAATTCTTAGAAAGTCTTCTTCTCTGTTCTCTGGGTAATATGTAAACAAACTAAGAGCATTCATATAGACAGATATGATGAACAAGGATGCCCCAAAATTGTGAAATTTATGGTCGAAGGATTGGGGTTCTGCTGAAGAGGGGGGGGTTGCTACATTGATTATACATGCAGGAAAAAATGCATCAATTTTATTAAATATTCTTGACTGTTCCTGGGTATTGAGCAGGTAAACATAGTGTATATTTAATTATCATCAGCAAGGGTGCTTTTAATTAATTTCGACTCTTGCATTTACTGAATTAATTTTTGTTCCTAGCCACAATGCTCATGTGAGTGATGTGGCCCATGGGCCTCTGTGTAAAATTTGTGGTCCAGGGGTGGGGGTTGATTCTTCAGTTCTTTGAAAATCTTTAACCAAATGTATAGTTATGGTGAGTGATAGAGGGTATCTGTTTCTTGGCCCCTTGGTTAGGGTCTCTGGTGTTAGCTTGATATGGCTATGTTGAATCTGTAGTAAAAATGTGTTATAAAAATATTCTCTGTTCCTGGGCATTTAGGGGGCAAAAAGAGTAAAGGTTTTGATAAGAAATGGTATTTCTGCTAGTTTTTCGAATATCTAGACAATTTGGTTTTGGTGCACTGCATGGCCAGGCTGACTATTATTTGCACTCTACTAGCTGAGAGAAGTTATTTGCCATTAACCTTTGATCATTAAATCATTAAAATAATTTGAATTTTAGGAATTTAGGAATTTTTATTGTAAAATACAAGAAATATTTTTGTAATTGTGAAGATCAGATACTGACTTGAAAATGATAGATAAATATGAGACAAAAAATAACATTTAAAATTCTATAAGACCATTTGTGCAAGATTAGGGCCCGTTAAAGGTAAAAAGCAAATTCAGAGAATTTGTGACCACCACTGATGGAAAAAAAGAGTATATACGCTGATCTAGGTGGGAGAGTTTGTCTGGTGGGGGGATGAAACACTTTAAGAAGAGCAGTCAGGGCCATGAGGAGTTATGATATAAAATTTCATTATAAAGATTAGCTCTAAAGCTTCTTAATTGAGATATCTATAAATAAAAGTTTCACAAACAAAGAGAGTGTATGAATTGATAACATTGACCTTTGACCTTTTGTCCTCAAAATCAATAGTTATGGGGTCTTTCTTGGGTCATAAGGAGTTGTGCCTAAAAATTTTGAAGTCTTCTTGAGATATAAATGCTTGGAAACAAAAGCATTACACAGAATTTATGATATTGACCTCAAAATCAATTATAGTGGTTTTCTTTAAGACAAACTGGGAGTTGCAAACCTTTTAACTCCCAGGACTTTTTCAGTATACTGATTTTGAACCATCGCTACCACATGAGTGATGAGTTGTTTCCCTCATTTACAGAAAAAGGATGAAGAAATTAAAGGGGCCGGATTGGAACATCACATCGTTAAAATTGTGTGGATGGAGAAGCAAGACACAATGCAGATATCCAAATCTTCCAAGCAAATATAGACTCATTAGAACTGCAGTTTTTATGTGGTTTTAGAATTAAAAACTGTTAGAAAATACATTTTTGTAATGGGTGTCCTAATTACCAGGTATGTAAGGGTATGGGTGCCCAATTTGGACACTTGAGATTTCTCTTGGTACTTCGGCTTCCTCCAACACTGACCCCCTTTTCTCTTTCTTTAATTGTGCCATTGAGATAATCATTTAGTTATTGCAGGAATTGTTTGTATGAAGTATTTGGAGGCTTATAAGTTGTAAATAGACTTTAATTTGTAAATACTCTGGTGCATTACTGGCTGGAACTTCAGAGTTCCTGGGTTACTGCTACATAAGCTAGGCTGGCCTGGGGAGGAGAGGTAAAAATGTCCAGTAGTATTAGGCTGCTTTGTCTCTTTGATTATACTCTTTATTTTAAATATAGGTCCAAATTTTTTTTAAATTTAACAGACCAAATGTTATAATTGATAAAATTATTAGATATTTGCATGAACATGTAGTATGACTATGTACATTCTGCTTGTTATAATTTAAAGTTGATGCTAACTTAATTGATTTATTGTATGATTGAATGCATGTGTAGACTAAATTATGTATGCAGTGAAAGAAGATGATGAATTTTAAAGAAAACATGAAATTCCCCAGTTTAGTTTTGTGAATGTCATGTAAGATTTCAATTTGTAAATATTAAATCTGATTGTTAATGTTAATTTGTCTGACTAGAATTTCAAGCATTGTGCAAAAAAAAAAAAAAAAAACAAAACAAAACAAAAAAAAAAAGAAAAACAACAACAAAGAAAAAAATGGAAAAAAAAAGAAAATAAAAAAAGAAAAATGCACAAAAATAAAAAGAAAGAAAATGACGCAAAACTTTTAATGCTGCCTGCTTGAAATTACAAGTTCATGTGTCTTTTCAAGCAGAAGGTTCCAAGCCCTTGAAAGCAGAGGAGAAGTTTTGGTATCATGTGTACATACATGCAAATTAAGTGGACTCAGCTAATCAAGATATTTTTGTGTCTCCTGTAGAAGAGCTGCATTTCATTTTCAGAATTTTTTGAAATTTTCAACTTTTCATTTCCGACAATTTTTAGTTTCATTTCAAACATTTGAAAGTTTTCATTTCCTACATTTTTCAGGTAGTGCTTTTCTGTAATGAAAGTAGGATTGAATGATTCACTGATGAAAATTATTACTGAATATATTATAGTGTATCAAATATCTTGAATATAAGTTCGGTGCAGTCATTAACATTTTGGTGAACAAAAAATGTTATGAAAAAATTGCATGCGCATTGAACTTTTTTAACTAGACTTAGTGCTTCATGTGTAGATCTATATTTCCAGAATTGTTATATGTTTTAATCTCTTTTTTAATATTTTATCCAAAGTTGGCTTGAAATAAACTCTTTTAAAATTCCATTTCGACCTACTTAGTTAACATTAAGTTGCCTGAGAGGTACCTTGCAAAAATTCCAGAAATGAAAAGAAATATATGTCGGAAATGAAAAGAAAAACTGTTGGAAATGAAATAAAACATGTCGGAAATGCAATGCAGATTTCCCAAAATGAAATGCAGCATGTAGAGGAGGGTGGCTCTGTCGGATCACTTAACTGGGTGTTTTTCTGTCTGTCCCAGTTTTTTAGCATCATCCTGGTTCAAGTTTTAGGAGCAAGTCCATTCCTAAATAAATTAATTTTGGTTGCAACGCATCATTTGTTTGGATAAAAAAATTAGTCTGGGTTGCCTAGTTCACAATGACTTACGTCAAAAACGTATCAATCTCCTCGACTTGTTTTCTATACTTAATGATTGAAAATTAAATTATAAGGAGTGAATAAAATAGCAACCCAAATTAAACTGATATAATCTGGGTTGGAGCAGTTTACACTTTTTTGTAAACTGCTTTGCATGTATTGTGTATGTTTTCAAAACTTTTTTTAATATCTTACAACTGGATGCTGAAATAAGAAATTCTTAATAAACTCTGCAGAAGGAATCATATCCACATTTTGTTCAAATATGTGTTCAGACAGTGAACTTATAATAAAGTGGTTGCTAAGCATCTGAGTGCCAAGTATTTAAGGTCATATTTTGAAGCTCTACACTGGTATATGGCAACTTCTCTTTATGAGTGAAAAATTCTTGAATTGGACAGAAAACAACATCAATCAATCCAAAAGATTATGTGGCTTTTGCATAAAATGTAAGACAATTTCCGTATGTAATCGCCTATAAGTCGGTTGTATTTTTCAAGCTTATATTAGAGGGATTTATCTAATATATTATTCATTTTATAACTTGCCTATAAGTTGGACATAGAGTTTTGGACCAAAGTTTAACTTCCAAAAATCTGACATAGGCGAATATATTAGGTAAGTCCTGGGAACCAGGGAGTTTTTTGCAGAAAAATATGTCATTTTTTCCCCGGGTTTAATGCATTAACTAAATCATCTTTTGGAAGATGGTGTTGTACTTTGATAGTTTGATAACAATGATAAAGTCGGAACAAAAAGTTTATTTCTTACAAGTTTAATGCATATTTTTAAAAGCATTTAGAATTATATTTGACAGTTTTGAACTGCATTTTACTTTCTCAGTTCAGTGACTTTTAATAGGGTACAAAAGATAAATTTAATATGGTTCTCAGGCCCATTGGCACCCGTTTTGAGATGGACACATTCCAAATTTCATCATATTACCGGTATTGATAAAATAAAAAGTTGGTAATGTGCAGACCAATCCGGAAGCAAGAAACCCATTGGCCACAATGCTCACCTAAGTAAAGTTGGCCCTGCTGTTCTTCACAAGATTTCCCCCCTTGCTATATGTATTGTGGCCCGCCCTACCCCCATGGGTCATGATTCGAACAACTCAGAATCTACACTACCCCAGATTGCTTCCACAATAGTTTCCACTTACCTACAAATTCGAACTTCATTGTGGCCCCACCCTAACCTAGGGGTCATGATTGGTACAAACATGAATATTCACAACCTGTCATATGCTATCACATAAATTTATATGACCAATCATGATTTTGCTGCTGTTGAAAATGATTCCACTGAAGTTTTATCTATCCAGGCCCATTGGTTCTATAGATTTTTAAAAAATAACATTAATTTTTCACGATTTTGTAATTATCTCCCCTTGAAGGAAGACCTAGCCCTTCATTTGAAGAAACTTTAATCCTCTTTACCTAATGATACTCAACCAAGTTTGTTTGATATTTGTCCTGTGGTTCTGGAGAAGAAGATGAGATGGAGAAAAATTTACAATATTGGAGACAATGACAAAATACAACGGACAAATTTTGATCATAAAAGCTCACTTGAGCCGAAGGCTCAGGTGAGCTCCAAATTGCAAATAAATATTATACATGGTCAAAACTGCATTATGGAAGGACAGCTGAGTATAATACACAAGATATAGTGTACATGTACAATGTTTTTTGTAATCCAAAGATTGTTCCTATTTACACTGATCTAAAGTCTAGTAAGTAACTAAAAATATGTAAAATGACGTATAAATTTGTATTACCTTGCTACTGTTGAAATAACTTGTGTTATTTAACTGATGTACACTGTACTGTGTGTATTAGGAAAATTGTATAATGTACATAACAAGAAGCTTCCAGCTTACTGAATAAATATCTAAATGAAATAAAGGAAATTGAAATATTGTTAATTTCATTACTATCTTATTTTTGTTTATCACAGTTAAGGGATAGCACAGTTTTCTTTGAAACATGGTGTAAATTTAACAAACAATATACTATTTGTATAAATTAATCAAAATGGCACCCGGCTGTTTTAGAAAATGCATCTGCTCTCAACACTGATACATTTGATGTGATACATGTTGTAGCTAACAAAATCTACATTATTAATCACAGATCTCTGTATAAAATCGAAATATACTTATTACAAAAGTAATCACAAAAATGCACAACTGACTAAACAAAGGAGATATACATTGTAACATTCTTCTTTCCTATTCTATGAACAGTACATTTATAATTGTTCATGTATATAAACATATATTTGTAGCTATACTGTAAATGTATTACATGTATTTATGGAGTGTATGATGTTTGGTGGAAATTAAGTTGCTGAATAAAATACACTGCTAAATGTTATATATTTACAGTACATCATACAGCACTAAAACATACACTTGATTCCAAAAATGCCTATAATGAGGTATAAAACAAATAACAAAAAGAACCATTTTTCTGGCAGAAAGGAAGGAGTACTTAGAATTGTGATAGCAAACACCAATTACATGTACTATATGTTTATACTATAATTTTACAACTATAAAGGAATACAATACTTGCAGGAAATGTAAAGAAAATGGTTTCATAAAATTGCACATTTATAACACCTTTGTGTCCAATATCTAAATTATATGTCAAAAAAAAACAAGAATGTAAACAAAATCTAATAATAATTAGAACACACACATTGTCCATCCAGAATAATTTTTTTTCTATTTTCATTTTCTGAAGGACAAGGATTTCCCAATCCCACTGTGTCTCTTCACAAGACGGGGATTTGGCTTTCCCTGAGTCAAAAACACTTTTATTTCTGCCTTGTCTGAAAGCTGCAGCCATTTTTCCACCCCTCCTTCTACATAATCTGAAAGTCACACAGCAGCAGGATTAAAAACAGATAACTTTCTATGCTAGTTACAATAAGCACATACATGTAATTTAAAGATCTAGTAAACTTTTCTGTATACAGTTTAAGATATCGTATATACTCGCCTATAAGTCGGTAGTATTTTTTTAAAGTTATTTGGCAGGAATTTGGCATTGACCCTCTTATAAGTCGGTACATTTTTTTTCCAGAATCAGATGACAATTTCTAATAAATGCTTTGATGTTTTACCCTAATTTCAATTAATATTTTGAGAAATAAAGTCGATATTCAACTTTGAATCATAAAAAATAAATTCTGCCCTCTTAAGATTAAAAATAATTTTTTTATTAAATACATGTATATAAAATTCATGTAATTTATGTATAATCTTTTAATATATAAATGATATAATGTATCCATACTTTGTTCAACAATAGCTATTGAAAATGTTTACAGAATACTATGATTCGCCATCTAGAAAAATATCTTTTTATGACTCGCCTATAAGTCGGACATAGACTTTCGGACTAAAATTTAACTCCCAAAATACCGACTTACAGGCGAGTATATACGGTAAATAAAAAAATTAGAGGAAATTTGATGCTAGTAACTTCCAACTAATGTTGATTGATAGATTGTATGTTGTTGAACGTCCCTCTTGAGAATATTTGCCACCATTTGCCAGTGGATAGCTACAAATTTCGTCCTATGCTCAGCACTCAGGGCCATTGAGCAGTGAGGGATCTTTTTGGTGCCAGCACCTACTGGGACACGGGACCTCAGTTTATAAGGTCTTATTTTGCAATGCTAGAGCAGATGCTCTAACCACTGCACCATGCAGGCCACTCCAACAAAAGTTGAAAATTCTAATGGATATATGTCAATCTGTATGCAAGTTGTTTCCCTTAACCCTACCAACTTTACTTATAAATGTACATGTACATATCCTGATTTGTATGAGCAACAATTTGAAGTAGCTTGCCTTATTTGATTCTTGTAGACCCTACCTGAGAACAACTCCTTTAAGCTAAAGGACTTCTGGGCCAAGTGGTCTTTGTTTTCACTCTTGATGTCAAAGATAAGATGTGTGTTCCCACTGACGCCAGCACCACGGTCAACCTGTTATAAATATTTCATTATTACCAGGACTAACCTTTTAAATCAAATCATACAGTACATGTATCCAAAAAAAAAAAAATGGAATAGAGATTGGAGATCACTTCATATAAGGAATAAGTAAGAAGATTGTTTACTTACCTCAAATGGCTGATTGAGAGCTGAGGCACTTACAGGAAACAGATAGGACTTGGCGATAACCCGCCCATGGTGAATAAATCTCAATCGGCTTCCTGAGCTAAAAATATTAATAAAAAATAAATAATGACATACCGGTATATTGCTTAAATCAAGGCCTTTGTTATACCTTTGAAAATTTGTTCTTATACAAATATATAGGAAAAAGGCTAAGATTTCTAATGTTTCGCTGAGCGGGCATAAAAAAAAATTGATGTTTGACCGCAGAGTGAGATGTTGGACTGCTTACTTCAGACAATGGGCGGAGCTTAATCTCATTTTCATTCATTGGCATTCAACAATGACAAAGCTTAATCTCATTTTCATTCAATGGTGTTCAACAGTGATGGACCCTCGAACCAAACTGTCTGCCTTTGGCCTAAGGGCCTCAGGCAGACGGTTTGGTTCTTGGGCCCCGTCAAAACGTATGTTTCCCTTCAACTCAGTCAATAAATGACCAACTTGTATATTACCTGACAAACTGTATTGAAACTTCACCCATTCTGACAAAGTTTTATTTTTGTATTAGTTTTCATATTAGTTTTCCTTATTAGGTTGACTTTGATACAAAATCTATGAAACATGAAGAGTGATGAAAGACACTTGTACAGAGATTGACAGGTTCTAAAATCAAATTGTTAAAAGAGAGCACACTGATTCAAACAAGTGAATTACAACACAGAATTCTAACAGAATAGCTATAGGTGTTGTTAATCGTGAACCAATCACCAGTGTAAAATGTTCCTCTATGAAGCTGTTTGATGACTGAGATTTGTTAAACAGATTGGGATACAGTTATATCTGACATAATCACTATACAATGTCTCATACCTGTGCTTTTGTCTGTGGCTGGATTGAATAAAAATTGAAAATTTACTTTTATGAGCCTTTATAGTCATGTGATTGTTCCTAGACTAGGATTTCTAACTGCTTTCTTCATATGTTTAGAAGTAAAATTTTGGCACAAACTAATGCATCAATTTTTGCCTCACTCTCTGCATTACCTGTAGTGTAGCTATCTGAAGGTTAGTTGCAAAATTAATATTTGCTGACAATTAATTTCAAAATACTGTATTAAAAACACTCAATCATTAAATTACACTTGAATTTTTACATTCAACAAAGGATTTTTATAAGGTTATGAATGTTAAGGGAGTAGGTTTTAGGGAGAAACTTCTAGGCAGCTTATGTGTACTTACTGTTCCAGGCGGACCTTGATGTAAATATTCCCAGAGCTCTGCCTCAGTGCACTGACCTCCAGAATCTTCCCGGACACATTGTAAAGCTTCTCATGACCGGCTACAGAGGAATCTGGAAAGCACGACATAAAGGTTAAATCAATTTTAACTCTTGAATTTATACACAGCACAGGTTCTAGCAACAGGAAATATAACAAGAGGCCCAGGGGCCACATCGCTCACCTGAGCAATTTGCTAGGAGAAAGCACATATCAGATCAGAACTAAAAGTTTACTGAGTTTGGGGGGGGGGGGGGAAGCCTGAATTTTAACCCCCCAGGGGTTTATGGTTTGAACAAACTAGAATCTACACTACCTGAGGATGATTCCATATAAATATCACTAAGCATGAATTTGAAGTACTTGAAAAGTGGATTTTAAAAGGTTTCCCTATATATTCCTATGTAAAACTTTGATCGGCCATTTTGGCCCCATCCTACCCTCGGGGGTCATGATTTGAACAAACTTAAATCTACACTACCTGAGGATAATTTCACATGAGTTTCATCTTTCCTGTCTCAATGGTTCTTGAGAAGAATATTTTTTATAGATTTTTCCTACATATTCCTATGTAAAACTTTGATCTGCCATTTTGGCCCCGCCCTACCCCCGGGGGACATGATTTGAACGAACTTGAATCTACACTACCTGAGGATGATTCCACATGAGTTTCATCTTTCCTGGCCCAGTGGTTCTTGAGAAGAAGATTTTTAAAGAATTTTCCTGTATATTCCTATGTAAAACTTTGATCGGCCATTTTGGCCCCGCCCTACCCCAGGGGGTCATGATTTGAACAAACTTGTATCTACACTACCTGAGAATGATTCCACATGAGTTTCATCTTTCCTGGTTCAGTGGTTCTTGAGAAGAAGATTTTTAAAGATTTTTTCATATATATTCCTATGTAAAACTTTGATCGGCAATTTTGGCCCCACCCTAACCCAGGGGGTCATGATTTGAACAATCTTGAATCTACACTACCTGAAGAAGATTGCACATGAGTTTCATCCTTCCTGGCCCAGTGGTTCTTGAGAAGAAGATTTTTAAAGATTTTTCCTATATATTCCTATGTAAATATTTGATCGGCCGTTTTGGCCCCACCCTACCCCCAGGGGGTCATGACTTGAACAATCTTGAATTTACACTACCTAAAGAAGATTTCACATGAGTTTCATCTTTCCTGGTCCAGTGGTTCTTGAAAAGAAGATTTTTAAAAAGTTTTCCTATATATTCCTATGTAAAACTTTGATTGGCCGTTTTGGCCCCACCCTATCCCTGGGGGTCATGATTTGAACAAATTTGAATCTACACTACCTGAGGATGATTCTATATGAGTTTCATCTTTCCTGGCCCAGTGGTTCTTGAGAAGAAGATTTTTAAAGATTATTCCTATATATTCCTATGTAAAACTTTGATAGGCCATTTTGGCCCAACCCTACCCCCAGGGGTCATAATTTGAACAAACTTGAATTTACACTACCTGAGGATGATTCCATATGAGTTTCATCTTTACTGGCCCAGTGGTTCTTGAGAAGAAGATTTTTAAAGATTCTTCCTATATATTCCTATGTAAAACTTTGATAGGCCATTTTGGCCCCACCCTACCCCCAGGGGTCATAATTTGAACAAACTTGAATTTACACTACCTGAGGATGATTCCATATGAGTTTCATCTTTACTGGCCCAGTGGTTCTTGAGAAGAAGAAGATTTTTAAAGATTTTTCCTATATATTCCTATGTAAAACTTGATCGGCCATTTTGGCCCCACCCTACCCCTGGGGGTCATGATTTGAACAAACTTGAATCTACACTACCTGAGGATGATTCCACATCAGTTTCCTCTTTCTGGGATCAGTGGTTCTTGAGAAGAAGATTTTTTTAAAATGTCATTAATTTTTCTCTAATTCATAATTATCTCCCCTTGGAAAAGGGCGTGGCCCTTCATTTGAACAAACTTGAATCCCCTTTACCCAAGGATACTTTGTAGCAAGTTTGGTTGAAATTGGCCCAGTGGTTCTTGAGAAGAAGATGAAAATGTGAAAAGTTTACAACAACGACAACGACAACGACGACAACGACGACGACGACAACGACAACGACAGACAACGGACAAATTTTGATCAGAAAAGCTCACTTGAGCCTTTGGCTCAGGTGAGCTAAAAACAATTGTAAACTGTCTATGATGTTGAAAATCTAATTGTTTGTTGTCAGTCTTATAAACCTTTTAAAATTGTTGTCACTTTACAGGACATTATTGTTAAACCTTGAATAAAAAAATTATAATCAAGGATGCAATTAGAACCCTTTATTTTTTTTTTTTATATAAAAGATGGTTTAGTTATTTTCATGATTTTTGAGGAAAAAAAATGTATCTTCTGTCCTTAAGTTCATTAACTGGATCCTCCTGGAAAAGATGTATGTATGTTTACTTGTCAGATTAGAATACAATATCTTTTTAACCTTGATAGTGTTCTTGCAGTTTTGGTAAAATAAGGCGAAGAACAAACTTTAATCAGAGAAACAGGCAAGTGTTTTTTCCCAGGAGGTCAGAGCTGAAAATTTATCATTAAATGCTTTCTTTCTATGTTGCTTGTTTTTGGAGTATACTGTTTAAGACTTAGATAACTCATTCATGTAATTGATATAAATTTTTTTACACAAGTTCCAAAAAATGTTCACCCTAAAAACCTTAATGCAGAATAAAGAAAAAGCAGAAAGTTTTTAAAATATGAAAAAAATTGTTTGATCTATTTAGATGTATTTAACAGCCTAAGAATTTCAGAGAATATATTCATTGAACATTGAATCCTACCAGTATAATAATTTGAAGACATTGATAATTTTTCTAATGTACATGTAGATTTATTGCATGCACGATTTACAAAAAAGACCACATATATGTATGTACTATACGTAAGTATAAAAAAATCTTAACGCTACAATTTTAAAAGGATTTTTAATTTTCTTAAATAAATTAGATGCAGGTTTTAATGAAAAGTTAAGACTTGAATTGAAATTTTCTAAAACTTAGCTAACCCAAAGACATTGTCAGGTTCTAACTATATTTATAAATATGTATGATTTTTCTTTAAAATTTTGATATGATACAGTATTATAATAATAACAAATTTGATGAAATTAGTTGATGAATACAGCATTAATTCATCATTACCGGTTATTATATAGAGTATTATCATTTCTCTATGACTGTACTTCTAAATTCTATTCATTAGTATTTGTAGTACCTATGCATGTGCATGCACCTATTTGATCTACATGTTAGAACAATTATAATAAAATATTTCATATCAAGTCTGAGGAAAGGATAATCAGGACTGAATTCCATTCATGATAATATCTAAATAAAGTAGGCAGGAAACTTTTTTATATTAAAACTGTGTACACTGTATTTATCATGCTGCAGGAATATCCCAATCTGCTCTCTCTCCTCTCTCTCTCAAGACCTGTTTACCCATATCGTTGTCTCTCAGTATTTTTGATTAGATTTCTCCATGAGATTTGGCATTTGCCAGTAAGATTTAACTTTCCATCAATTTTACATATATTAAAAGAGAATGACTGCTTTTCTAGAAAGATTACAAAAACTTTGTTTAAACCTGGTCTTTGTCAATTTATAATACCACAGCATTTTGGTAACCCGACATCACTTACTTGTTTGAAATCTTTCTCTCTTTTAGCGATTCAAAAGCGTGAAACAAAGACAGATCATAAGGAAAACTAGGTGCTAAATTCCACATGAAGGTATTTCCCATTTCCATATTTTCATAAAAGCAAAACATGAGACGTATTTTAAACTAAAAATCCGTACAAAATATGACAAAATTGTAAGAATAAACAAGTCTATCTGTCTCTCTCTCTCTCTTTCTCTCTCTCTCTCTCTCTCTCTCTCTTTCACCAAAATTAAGGAAGGATAGCATTACATGTTCATGCCATTAACAGTAATACCTTGTCACAGGTTTCAATCTGTCTGTTGTTGCAGAGGAAATGTTGGAATTTTAAAAGTTAATAAATCAAGTAATTGTTAACACATGTTAAAACATTTTCACATTACTCGTACATTTATCTTTAATTTCACAGGCTGTTTTAAAACATTATATTATAAATTGTGCATTGTAAATAACTTTGTGAAGGTCACAATACAATACACATTTACTGTTCATATTAAATACATGTACATGTACAACCACAATACATTTCTTACTTTTCCCATGATTCTCTGGGGTAGTCTTAGCTGTCACTGTTAAAATATGTTTTGTTTTACATTCTTTAACTAGTGACTACAGTTATTGATGCAAACCTTTTTATTTCCAAGGCTGAAGAACTTGAAATTCTGATAATTCATTTCTTCAAGTATGTTACATTTATTTCATCTTATTCTAGCTTTTATAAAATAGTTTCGCTGCGTATCATTTTCAGAATTATGCTTATCATTTCTGAACTTTTTTATTTTCATTTCTGACAATTTTTTTCCATTTAGTAATTTTCTGAAAATTTATGAAACCAGATATTTTACAATACCAGTTTGGGAATTAATATTATATTTATTTCAAATCACATTTTAAAAAGCATAAAAATTATAATATATACACATATTTACAAGTTATTTACTCATTAAATGTTTTGCATGGTTTATTTGTACATTCAAGTAAGATTCTTTTGAATTAGCATTATAATATGACACTATATATGCAACCCCAAGTAAATTCTATATTTTTCTTTACATCCAAGCAGAACATTTTGATTTATTTTTTTCATGATTTTAAAATGAAAAGTATTCATTTCTATTTTATTGCTGGTAAAGCACATTTGTACTATTCCATAAATGTCAGATTTGAAAAGTAGAATATTTTTAAAACTCAAGAAATGAAATGCAACCTTTACTGCAATACTTTTCAAAAACTTTGAGATCATTGTATATCTTATGGTTAATACATCATCTAAAGTTTAATTCAATAAACCAGTAGCATTAGTCAACATTGATATTTTCTGTTGAAAACTCCAAGAACAATGTATAACTGAAAACAGAGAGCTTACCTATAGAGATAGTATCATCATGATTCAATGCTGAGATGGAGTTGCTCCTGAAATACATTTAATATAGATTTAACAAAACTTACAAGACACCAAGAGAGTATTGTATTTTTATTTTTATCCATACATGTGAATTTATAAAAGAATATATGTGTAATACCAGAAAAAATCAGCAGCAAATTTATTGTTACTAAAAAGTCCACAATATCTTTCATACCAGTTGTCATATTGTAGTGTAATAGCTACAAGTTTAATATTATATGGGGTTACATTAGTGATTTAATACCAGTTATTTCTACTCACGAGTCTGTATGTTTAAGAGTTAAGGCTGTCGGCATCCCTGAGTAGCCTGTTGTCTGTTTGTCTGGCTTCTTGCTCACGTTGACATCTGAGGCTGACCTCCGTAACCTGAGTTCAGGGTTCACGGTAAGCTGGCTAGCTGATGGGGTCGAGGTCACGGGCTGCACTTTTTCTGGAATAATCTGTTGGTTACTGGGACTGAATGATATTTCCTCCCTTGTTGGGGAGATCTGTCCCTCTGAGGATTTGGGGGAGCTTCCATTCACACTGTCTGGGGGTAGAGGGCTCGTGGAATCCTGCCCTGAAGATAACTCCCCTTTATCAGATTCCTGTCAATAAATTAACATCCTCTTTTATACAAAGACTTTACTCGATACATCCTTTATATTAAACTATAATAACAAGAAATGTCATTATTGTGATAAATTTGAGAGTGTATGCATAATCAAAAGCAAGGTCAGAGATCTGAAAGGTGAAAAGGGGGCAGGGGGACTTAACAGAGCAGATGTGAGGAGTAGAATTTTTACACCAATTATAAAATATTTATCCTGTTTTGCCACCAAATTCTTCAGGTTTTTAAAATGACCATTCCCTTTTTGCCTTGATACTCACTTAGAAGAGAGCATAATACTTCAATTGAACAAATCTTGAGAATTTCCTTCACCTAAGAATATTTTGTGCTTATGGTTTGGTTCAAATTGGTTCAGTGGGTCTAGAGAAGAAGATGAGAGTGTGATAAGTTCACAATAATGGCTATAATCAACAGACAAATTATAATCAGGAAAACTCAGCCACTGGGCTAAAAATTTCATTCATCAATTGTTTACTATGCACTGTATTTCATACAAATATCCTAAATACTTTACTGCAAGGAAATAAATGTATTTACATATCTGATACATTCGAACTCCCCCTTTCAAAAGTAGGGACAAGCCCCCTACCTATTCCCTTTGACTATACATATGAAGCAAATTCTTAAGCCTGTCTTTCAGTTATTCTGAAAATTTTGTAGCCAGTGGTTGAACATAAATGATTTGAAAATGGTTTACATGCACTGTGTCCACAACTGGTAAGAAGACGTCATTGTTATTCTTCCCAGAGTTCTGATGTTTGCTCCGCCTCAAAGAACGGGACTTCTTGACTGGTTCCTGTGTAGCATAAGAAACATTTTCTTAAATTTAGTTCCTTGTACATGGAACAGTTTTATTCATGTTTTTACAAGTCACAGTACAACTGATCACCTACCAGAGAGCTTGTACATGTCACTGTGCATTTAATCTGAATTTGTCCAGATTTTGTTCTCTGTAAAGGAATCCATTCAGCTGTACCCTACAATAAAACAACAAAGATACCTCTTTTATTTCTTTTCCAAATGGCTTACAACCTTCAACAGGACAGTCTCCTTATTCAAGTTTTCAACAAAGAAAGAATATTACTGAAGCTTAAGATTTTATATATCAACCATTTGCACAATATTATTAAAAATTGCAATCATTTTCATCAACAAGTGATGTCACTAGTTGATGTAAAATTGCATTAGTTTTCTCCCCCTTACCTTATGAGAAATTTCTTTCAGTTTGTCTAGTGTTAATATGACTTTACCAAGAAAATCTTTGGAAATCATGTCCTTGTCATAAACAAACTGTAAAATATAATGAAAATCAATTGTAATATGTCTTGTCCTTTTTCTTCACAAAATTACATTTAATTTAAATCAAAGAAAACATCACAAAATTACATTTTGTACAATGTACTTTAAAACAATTCAAAATGTTATCAGTAGAACAAAAACCTACAATCTCCAATAAGTGGTTGTCTTCCAATACTTGGAAGGAAGTACTCTCATTCCATTTTGGGAAAAGTGTGTTTTTCTTCACTGAAGTTTTGAACACTTTCTTACTCCCCATCAAAACTGTACAGTAAGGATCACTCAGGCCTGAAAATCAAAATGTCAATACATCAAATCTTTACAGAATCAGAAAATTATGGATAAGTAAAGTTAATGTTCCTAAGACTGAAAAAAATTATTAGACAACTCTCTTTAGAAGCTGTTGTGCCTTTAAAAAGATTATAATGTATTATTATTATGTTCAATGACTTACCATTACGGTCAGCAGGCATTAGATCTTTGGCTTGCAAGATTGTTAAATCTACAAACGTCTTATCTGGAAGAATAAAACAGGTATTATTCCAATCTTATGTGTAAGTACATATTGTACTGTTAAAAAGTGTATGTGATATCTCTCAGCTTATTTGCAAACAAATCTTTGTATTCAAGGTTCTGAAAAAAATATCTGTATAAGAATGAACCATTTTTGCTTGAAACTGTCTTGAAAAACCATGACTGAAAAAGTCTGGGTGTAAATTACCCTCAATCATGCCGCCCGCCATGGATGCTGAGTTAAGAACTGTATCACTGTCAGGTCCACCACCCTATGTAAGAAACAGAAATGTTTTACTTCGTGATCATGATTTAAATTGAATAATCAGCAAATCCCTTAAAACATTTCTTATCATATGATGAAAAATTAGGTTTTATGGTATTCTGTATGTATTCTACTGTAAATGTATTGCATTTGACTGTGTCTTCTATTAGTGCTTTTGGCAGAAAGAAACTAGTTCAAGTACAACTCTAAATGTGTTGCACATATATACATAATACAGAGCATTAAGAACTGGACAAATTCAAATCTATGCTAACATATTCAGGAGTCAATTTCAGCCAAATTTCATCCACACAAAATATAATATATTGACAGTATACTCTGAACTGTCTTAACTGGTAAACTTCTTTTTCTCTTTTCAAGAAATTTGAGTCGTATAGCAATACTCATTATTTGTATTTAAGGAATGTTTTTAAGTTTAGTGTGAATTATTGGTGTGTGAATCACACAGGCTTGTCACTTAGGCATATTTCATGATAAGCGCACTAGCGCTTCATGAAAAATATGCCTACGTGCAATTTTTTTGTGATTCACACACCAATAATTCACACTAAACTTAAAAACATTCCTTATATTTACATTTTACATGTTTGGAAGCCACTAAAATATACTCATTATTTGAATTTCCCGCTGCCCTATATCGTTGCATTTTTACTATTGTCGCTGTATCCTCATTGTGACGTCACATTAGAGCAAGTTTTTCCGTGTATATTTCTACGCACGAGTATACACAAAAATGGTTTTAAAATCAATTTCACAGTTGGCTTAGTAGAAAAACACAGCGAATGTAAATATTTTACTATACCTAACCTATCCTTACTGTTATATGTATAAAATTTTGACTGCAAGATTCACACAATCATGCCCTGATATTTACTTTACTTTCAATTACAAACTTGATGAACAAGATCAATTTTCTCATTCCTAAGAAATAATAACAATCCAAAAGCAGGTTCCTTTATATTTGCAAAGATGAAATAAACAATTTTTCTTCTGAAAACTGATAATTAAATAAACTGTCAATTTATAGATGGACTGCAAATGGCATATCATTATATTTTTTCACCACAAGTCACATGCATATTAAATATTTAAATTTAAAATTGACATTTGAACAGCTACTAACCCAAAGCATGCATCATATAGGACTATAATTCTATTAATATGTTTCTAAATACATTTGTACAGTACAAGCATCTCTGGCAGTGAATCTACACCTGTAACTACTGTTTTATATTTTCTTTCTGTGATCTATTATCTAATTATATGTCTGATATGCCTTTAGGATGAAATTCATGCATACATGTATCTAATATATGTAATAAATCAAAATTTATTTATTTTTAATTATTGAAAAAATATTTTATTAATATTTTTTTAATTTATCATTTATTTATTTTTTTGTGATCCCCAGTGAAATTATCATTAATTTTTGCAAAATTTCACTGAAAAACAAACTACCAGTATGTGGTAAAACAGATTTAATTTTGTGTCCCACATTGTTTAAAAAACATTACATTTATAATTTTTTTAAAGGTTAAAATTTTAAATATTATATCCACATTATTTTTAATATTTATTCTTTAAATTAATTTTGTTCCCAAGGTGACTTTTCTCTTTTATACTTCCATTAATATATTGTTACACTCGAAGGAAAACATATCCCATATAAGCAGAATTTTTAGCAAGGATTTAATTTTGGCATTATTAGCAAGAGTGCCAAGATCACTAAAATTGAATATTGCTAAAAATAAATTGCACTTATTTGTAACTGTTTCTTAAGTGAGCTTTTAAAATTCGCTAAAATTTCATCTCGCTAAAAATAAAATATAATTTTTAAGGAAGAATCACTTAATTTGCATCTCGCTAAAATCTCCACTTATATGGTATATTATTGATGGAAATGCTGTACAGAGATATAGCCAATACATTCACAGGTCATTTTGTTGTAAATTGTAATCAAGTTTTACTGTAGTCTAGTTAGTTAAATGATGATAAAAGGACTGAAAATTCTTGAATGATTGTAAGATACATACTGGTATATGATTGAGGAAAAAGTCAGTTCAATCTTATTTTAAAGTTAATTATGTTTAATTTTAGTATTTTTAAAATTTTTTTTTTTTATTTCATTGAAAAACTTCAAAAGCAACAAAGCTGATTCAAATAAAGCGTAATAAAGATTGTAAAACAGGGAAGCAGTGTTTTTAGAATTACCTGGTCATTCTCACTAGTGAGTTCACTCACAGATTGGCGAGTTGCTGACTGAAATGTTAAAATGAGGTCAACAAATGGCATACAAAATCATGAACTGTGAACAGGAAAAAACGGTTATGTCAATGAAAATGTGGGACAGATTATGTTATTATTATGTTAATGAAAATAATGAATAAAGAACATTATGAAAATATTAATGATCTCCTGAAAGTAAGATGTCATTAAGAAAATGTGTGATAATTATACACAACATAGATAATGCAAGCATGAAATGTTAGCACCATTCCCATTACCACTTTAAATAATGAAATAAAATTATACATGTAGTAGCAAAAGTACACGTTACACGTAATACAATATAACATTCACACGCATTTATCTGCACACACATGATCTACTGGTAAGCAGCAATAGCTTATAGGGCAATACATGTAGTATCTATATTGTCAGATCTGATAATGTAACAGTAGTTGACTGTTATGGTAATAAAATTCGATATCTTCAATGGTTACCTAGGCAGGGGTGAAGCCAATGTCAAGGAACAAGGCCAGGTCAAGTAATTATTTTAATGGTGAGATAATCATATTTCATTACCATCTCAAAGTCAATAACAAGTTTATATATCTTCCAGACTTCCTGTTTTTCAAAAGTTGATATGAACAGGTCTGACACAAGAAAAAAAAACATTAAAATTTACCTGTTACAAGCTTAAACATAATAAGACCAATATTAACCACTTTAAAGTGTTATTTGAAATATTTCATCCTGATGTATAGCAATGATATTAGTAAAATACACCAAAAATAGAGGCCAAAGGGTAATTTTCCACAATTCTTCAAAAATTTAAAATCTTGTTTTGTTTAAAAAAAAAAAAAAAAAAAAAAAAAAACACCCATTCTTCTTTTCATAAATTTGGAAATCATGATGTGAAAAATACTAGCATTTTTTTTTCAGTGCAAGACAGTTAATCCATTATGATGCATTTATGAGGGACCTACATGTACATGTATTTACATTTACTGCATGCGTTTGAAATTTTTACCTCTTTTAGTATGATCCCAAATGTAACACAGAAAGAAGCATGATACATACTGTAAAGCATGAAAGATGAAAGACGTATACAAGTATATACATAGTAATTTATATTTCTTTCTATAAGCTACTTTTTTAAAAGATAATAGCAATTTAGAATTTAAATGCATTTACCTTTGATTGGCTTATCTAGCAGTTGATGATTTATGAATTTTTATAAATACATTCTACATAAATGTAAGAAAAAGCTTAAAATCTTTGTTGTTATTCAATTACAGTACTTTGCAGATTTCTACATAAGAAGCATAATTTAAACTGATTATTTTGACTGTCTTAAAAATCAATCCTGTTATCTCAAAACTTGATCAGTTAGACAGAATTTAGAGTCTAGTGATAGTTGAATTAAACATGAATGAAAAAGTGATTGGGTAAAATTGTGAAAAAAATAAGGGACAAATTATGAACGTGAAAAAAATGAACTGGAACACTTTGTGGATAATGACAAATGTAACATAACGTACCACTGATGAAGGGGATACACGGTCCTCCTGGTACAGATAGTCTGTCCCACTGGTACTGGCAACTCGGAACTTTTCTACAACAGAAAGATTATGATGGTCACATATAACATCATCTTCTAACTTTCCTCCAAGGATTTATTCTTATTTAGCATACTAGAGCCAGTTTGTATGGAGATAAAACAAGAGATCAAGACTAAGGTCCCTGATTGTTACCTGATTTTCTGACAGATGATACTGGTCTAAATACAATGGAGACTGTCAGATACCCATACTCTGTGCTTTGTACAATGCCCTTAGAAGGATCCTGGTGCCCTAACACTAGGTTCTCTTTGATTACTGTGTGTTGGTCCTAAAATATTAAAAACATGCACAAATATTTCACTCATATCAGAGGTTAGCCACAGCTGTATTCTATTAAACTTGTACTTAAACTCTTATTTCTACATTATTCTATTACAACATGTTAAAATTACTGGTATAATATTTTCTTGCTGTACTGAAAACTATACATTGTTAAATATTGATCTCTTTTTTTCCTGAAGAATATCAATTTTTTTTATATAATTCTTTGATATATTGGTGTAGATAAAATTCAAAAAAATGTTTGTATCTCGAAATACCTCTTTGAAAGCAAAATGTGTTGATCCTAGAAAGTCATCGTCAATGATATTGGACCCATCCCAATCATACACATAAAATGATAAAGGTGTCTGTAATTTCAAAAGAAGAGAATACACTCAGGTGCCAAAGTAACAGTCTGCATGAGATCTTTACTGTACAGTTTACCATTCAAAAAGTTACTTTAATCAATCAACTTACAGTAAAACTCTGATATAAAGAATACACTTATTAAGAAATAATGGTTATAATGATTTTTTTAAACAAATCATGAAACTTTTCACAATGTTACTTTTATGAATTTAAAGAATCTCAGCTAGAAGGAAGTAAAATATGAGTTACAGAATTTTACCATTTTGTTTACTTTCTTGCTGTATTACCTTGGTGAAATCCTGAACAAAGAATTCTACCGAGGACTCCCATGTTGGATTGACAGTTTTCAAGATGTATGGAGTTGTCAACACCTGTGATCAAAATGAATGCATA